ATGGTCCAGGACGGACCGAAACGTCATCGTCCTTTTTCTCTCTCTCTCTCTCTCTCTCTCTCTCTCTCTCTCTCTCTCTCTCTCTCTCTCTCTCTCTCTCTCTCTCTCTCTCTCTCTCTCTCTCTCTCTCTCTCTCTCTCTCTCTCTCTCTCTCTCTCTCTCTCTCTCTCTCTCTCTCTCTCTCTCTCTCTCTCTCTCTCTCTCTCTCTCTCTCTCTCTCTCTCTCTCTCTCTCTCGTACCTGCAATCTCGGAGGTGAAGGTGTCACTGTGCAGTAAGGCTCTGATCCTCCTGGCTACCTCGATCTGGCCCTTGTGGTGCCTCAGCTTGTGCACGTCTGACAACATCACACCATCGTTAATTAATCTCAGAAGTCAATGTATTCCACAACAATAAAATGTAACTTGCTTTCTCGTTAACAACTTCATAAAAACAACACTATAATAACACAAAATCATTTCATAATATGTACATAAATCTTGCGTGTAACCAGTAGTGAAAATATTTATATTTGTGTTACCAGTAATTAGTAAATATAAATTAGACAATACTTGTAATATTTTATTTAAAAGAATGAGTTATAATCTTATTGCTTTACATGTATATTTTATAATTTATTCTCGAGTACGACCTTTAATATGTGTCAGCCGGGTGGCAGGGTTCCCTGACGATCCTGTGGCTAGGAGTCACTACATTAAAGGCTGGGACCTTCCTTAGAGGCTGGGACCCCTCTGGAGGCTGGGACCCCCCCCCTGGAGGCTGGGACCCCCCTGGAGGCTGGGACCCCCCCCTGGAGGCTGGGACCCCCCTGGAGGCTGGGACCCCCCCCTGGAGGCTGGGACCCCCCCCTGGAGGCTGGGACCCCCCTGGAGGCTGGGACCCCCCTGGAGGTTGGGACCCCCCCCTGGAGGCTGGGACCCCCTTGGAGGCTGGGACCCCCCTGGAGGCTGGGACCCCCCCTGGAGGCTGGGACCCCCTGGAGGCTGGGACCCCCCTGGAGGCTGGGACCCCCCTGGTGGCTGGGACCCTTCTGGAGGCTGGGACCCCCCCCTGGAGGCTGGGACCCCCCCCTGGAGGCTGGGACCCCCCTGGTGGCTGGGATCCCCCTGGAGGCCAGGACTCACCACTGTCGAAGGCCCTGGAGGTACCTTTGAGGACCTCGAGGGTGAGGGCGGCCACCACGTCCGCCTGGCGCGCCACCGTCTCCGCGCGCTCCAGCGCCTCGGCGCCGATGGAGGTGATGAGCTGCGTCCCGTTGATGAGCGCGATGCCTTCCTTGGCAGCCAGCACCACAGGCCTCAGGTTGTGCGCCTCCAGCACCTGAGGCACCAAGAGAGCCACGTTAGTACTCATCACCTACGTGAGACCATTGCCAGTGTTGGCAGCTCCACCACGTCATCCCTACTGGGAAATAGAAGAGAGAAAACCCCGAGAGAGACCTGATCGCAATATACAAGTTATATTCAGACATAAAGACCGATCCAATTACAGCATTTAAATTTATAGATATCCAGCTTGAAACCTGAATAGGCCAGAGACCCTGTTAACTACCGCCAATTAGAAGACAGAATAAACTGCCACTGACCTCAGAAGCGGTAAGATAACACCATAGCAAGAGCTCAATACTTTGTGAAGGCAGCAACAGGCAGGAAGATCTACACATATCTCCCCCTAAATGTGAGGACATAAAAGGACTGGAATTCTGAGTAACAGACAACTGTTACAAGTGTTCTTTGACAGGTGTATTGTACTGACTGTCAGGTGACTAATTAATCCTCGAAAAAATCTACATTTGCCTCTGAGTTCCAACAGGGAATCACACAAATCATGTTATGTGACGGACAGGTGGCCCGACTGCACCTTGTATGACTGCCAGAGAGCACTCGAAGCCGCCCCGCACGGGAGACTTTTATTCAAGCTGGAGAGTAAAGCTGGAGCGGCTTGGAAATCACTGGAGGGATAATGATTTATCAGACAGGAAACACAAGGGTCAGAGTGAGGAGTGAGATATCAGAGTGACGAGAGAGAGAGAGGTCAGAGTGGTGAATGTCACCAGCAGTGTGGTGCAAACGTTAATAAATATGGCGTCTTATAATACATGTTGATAGATCTTGATTTAATAGCCACGTGCTAGAAACAAAAACACACCTTAAGGGACATGTTTGAGGAGGACGCCACGTTACAGAGACACGTCAAGAGACAGGAAGAGACGTGGTGGTATACAGGAGCAGCGAGTCCGCCTTCTGGGCTCTCCAGAGAAATGGATATTTGATCTTAAACCTGAAAAGTGCAATGGAAGGAGAGGAGCAAGAACATCAGAAACAGTGGGGTGAAGAGGTCTCATTCCCGTTTCAAAGGAGAATGTCCTCGGAGGTGGACATGTTCCCAAACTTGATACAATATGCGCCCTCTGGTAGAGTAACATCTGTGTGAATGTAAGCTTAACAAATGGTCAGAAAGCCTTTAGATTGCTGAATGTAACCTGTGAGAGAACACACACACACACACACACACACACGCACAATACTTACGTAACTAGCGTTGCCCCAGCCAGTCTTGGGGCTCCACATCTTGCCCTCACCCATCAGGCCGAGGGCCAGGTGGGCCAAGGGGGCCAGGTCGCCCGAGGCACCCACGGTGCCCTTCTCAGGCACCCACGGCAAGCACGACGCTGTACCAACAAGGTCAAAAATTAACCATATGTTTGTTGTCAATAAAGTTCTCTGATCAGTTAATTAAATACAAATACGTTGATGGATCACTAAAGTTTATCAAGAGCAGTTCACAGAAGAGGACAAGATTCCACAGGGATAAACCGAGAGATGTGGCCAGGTTGTGTATGTTTACTAAGAGTATACTTGAGTATACTTTAGTCCTGAACTTTGTTTAAGACTAAAGTATACTTGCTCTTTAGTCAGTAAACTACTATGGTGGATTTTAATGGCCCTTGAGAGGTTTATTTAGGCCTTAAGACGTGAAACCAAACTAAATGTAATTGGTTGATGTTAGGATCAACACACAGACTGATGTTTTAAAAATTAACAGTTCTGTAGGTCAGAGTGGATGTTGGAGCTCTGTTTACAAATGGAAATAAACATTTCATTCACTTAGGCACTTGGAGACTTGAACCGCCGACCCCCAAGGTGTAAGAAGGACGCTCTTCCACTGAACTATCGTGAAGCTCAATAGGAAAGATCTCAGAGGCAACAAACCTCTACCCAACTGAGATTTAACACTTCCCCCGCCTCCCTCTTAAGAACACACATGTAATATCCCCGCCAAACACACACCGAAACTACGACGTTGGTACAACGTTCGAACAAGTTTTAACACCTCCTAACTAGTTATAACAACCAATATAGCAAGTTGTAACAACGTTCTAATACGTCATAAACACGTTAAGCCAAGATGTAACAACTTTATTACAAGTTGTAACGAGCGGAAAATAGAGACAGTTTCGGTTTGTGTTTCCGGGTTATAGTGACATTATAAGGAAGACTGTAGCGAGGACTGACCATTGAAGGCCTCGATGTACTGAGAGAGGACCTGGAGGCTGATGCCCGAGTAACCCTTGGCCAGCACGTTGATCCTCAGAGCCAGGAGCATCCTCGTCTTCTCCGCCGTCAGCGGGGCGCCGACCCCCGCCGCGTGGGACCTGATCACGTTCAGCTGCAGCTCCCTGTGAGGTGTGGGAGGGGGGAGGGGGGAGGGGGGGGTAGTGAGTGAGACGATTGGTTGGTGATGATTAAGCCACCCAAGAGGTGGCACGGGCATGAACAGCCCGGAAACAGAGGGAGATGGCTCAGTTTGGCGAAATGGAAGGAGAGAAAGAGAGGAGTGGACGACACGTCTGGTGCTGGGCGGTTGATGCGACGCGCCCCATTAAACATACGGCGGGCAGGAAATAATAATAATAATAATAATAATAATAATAATAATAATAATAATTCACAAAGAAATCACATTAGCATGATATATCATTGAACAAATCCACAAGAGCCTTGATGAGGGTTCGAACCTATGTGCTGAGGCGCTCTAGTCCACTGTACCACAACATGGTCAAAAGAACTGCAACCTGGAGTGCTACTGCCCCCCCCCCCACGAGGGTCCCGAGTCTTCCACTGAAGCCTAACCGGGGGTTTCACACAATCCCTCCCCCCCCCCCATGCACTGACTGTCAACCAGTAGTAACATCTCTCACTACTTCAATACACAACAGTAGGAGCGTCAGAGGTAGTGTGTTGGAGAGGAGATCCTCTATGTTGTCCTGTCCACTCGGGCTGGACGGTAGAGTGATGGTCTCGCTTCATGCAGGTCAGCGTTCAATCCCCGACCGTCCAAGTGGTTGGGCACCATTCCTTTCCCCCGCCCCATCCCTAATCCTGACTCCTACCAAATGCTATATAGTTGTAATGGCTTGGCGCTTTCTGCTAATAGTTCCCTTCCCCTTGCACACAGGAAAACCTGGATAAATACTTTTTTTTTTGAACTGAAGGATTAAAATCAACTTTTTTGGTAGAAGAACCAAGTATGGAGGCGGAGGTGTTGAGGCTACTTACTCCAGCTTGTCCTCTGGGATGATGGTCCGAGCGAACTTGCCGAACCCTGTCGTGATGCCGTAGACCACTGAAATGCACAGACACACAACAGTTAGTTTGAACAGTTGCTATAATGGTCGAGTTTGTTGGGTACCGTCACTCATCCTGTGAGTGAATATATCGCCATATGGTCATCCTCACTCATTCTATAAGTAATCATAGAAACATTTTTTTTTTATTTTTTTTTTATTTTAAATTTTTAAATTTAAATTTTTGCTATTTTTTTTTTTTTTATAAATATATGAGGTACATCTGCATTAGTGCAGCTACCCTAGACTATATGATGTGGAGTACAGTGTGTCAAAAAAGCTAACTAGGTGATGCTAACAAATCCCCATCACACAGGATGATTAGTCATTCAGAGGCAGAGGCATGTGATGGGCAGTCTGCACTGACAGACTCCAGCTATTATTTAAACCAATGTTAAAGTCTATGGACTCGAGGCAGAACATTTCACATTCACAGACTTTATGAAGGAGAAGCATTAGGGGTCGCGCCCCCCTTCAGCATGGCTCTAGGGCAACTCCACCCCCCCCCCCCCGCCCCATGACTCGTCAAATAAAATTAACACTACTCCTGCTAAGCCTAATGAGGCTAACCCGCCCCCTAGCTCCTGGTCTCCAACTTCAGGGCGACACAGCCACAGACAGACAGACATTCTGTCTTACATATTTAGATTCAATTTGTTGCACAGTTTGGCCTAAATGAGAGTAGGTGTATTAACTGTTGGTATTTAACTGTATTTGTAGCACGGTAGCACGTTATCTATCTTGAGGTTATTTTGAAATGATTTCGGGGCTTAGCGTCCCTGAAGCCCGGTCCTCGACCAGGCCTCCTTTTTGTTACACACCCCCAGGAAGCAGCCCGTAGCAGCTGTCTAACTCCCAGGTACCATTCACTGCTAGGTAACAGGGGCATCAGGGTGAGAAAAAAAACATTTTGCCCATTTATCTCCGCCTTCACCGGGGATCGATTCCGGAACCTCAGGACTACGAATCCGAAGTGCAGTCCACTCAGCTGTCAGGTGCCTCACGTGGGTGAAGCATGTACAGAGGTGGGATTCGAACAGCAGACGTCAGCGAAGCAGTGTTCGAGGACAGTTCGAACGCAATCTCCTGTAAGTTACATGTAAATCACTCTGTGAGGGGTGCCGGCTAGACGAGCGTGTAAATAGTGTTTAAGAAACCGGGCTGATGGAATGTCGTCACGTCGCCTTGATCTACCCTCTGACCTGACCTTTTTTCTCCTTGATGATGCGTTCCACCAGCTCCCTCGCCGCCTTCACAGCCTCCTCCGCCTCCTGGCTCAGCTGTGGGGGAGATACACACCATACAGTACTCCCTCACTACTGGACACACCATACAGTACTCCCTCACACACCACACACACCATACAGTACTCCCACACTACAGGACACACTATACAGTACTCCCACACTACTGGACACACCATACAGTACTCCCTCACTACTGGACACACCATACAGTACTCCCACACTACTGGACACACCATACAGTACTCCCTCACTACTGGACACACCATACAGTACTCCCTCACTACTGGACACAACATACAGTACTCCCTCACTACTGGACACACCATACAGTACTCCCTCACTACAGGACACACCATACAGTACTCCCTCACACACCACACACACCATACAGTACTCCCTCACTACTGGACACACCATACAGTACTCCCTCACTACAGGACACACCATACAGTACTCCCTCACACACCACACACACCATACAGTACTCCCACACTACAGGACACACTATACAGTACTCCCTCACTACTGGACACACCATACAGTACTCCCTCACTACTGGACACACCATACAGTACTCCCACACTACTGGACACACCATACAGTACTCCCACACTACAGGACACACCATACAGTACTCCCACACTACAGGACACACCATACAGTACTCCCTCACTACTGGACACACCATACAGTACTCCCTCACACACCACACACACCATACAGTACTTCCTCACTACTGGACACACCATACAGTACTCCCACACTACTGGACACACCATACAGTACTCCCTCACACACCACACACACCATACAGTACTTCCTCACTACTGGACACACCATACAGTACTCCCACACTACTGGACACACCATACAGTACTCCCTCACTACAGGACACACCATACAGTACTCCAACACTACTGGACACACCATACAGTACTCCCACACTACAGGACACACCATACAGTACTCCCTCACACACCACACACACCATACAGTACTCCCACACTACTGGACACACCATACAGTACTCCCACACTACTGGACACACCATACAGTACTCCCACACTACAGGACACACCATACAGTACTCCCTCACTACTGGACACACCATACAGTACTCCCTCACTACAGGACACACCATACAGTACTCCCACACTACTGGACACACCATACAGTACTCCCACACTACAGGACACACCATACAGTACTCCCACACTACAGGACACACCATACAGTACTCCCTCACTACTGGACACACCATACAGTACTCCCTCACTACAGGACACACCATACAGTACTCCCACACTACTGGACACACCATACAGTACTCCCACACTACTGGACACACCATACAGTACTCCCTCACACACCACACACACCATACAGTACTTCCTCACTACTGGACACACCATACAGTACTCCCACACTACTGGACACACCATACAGTACTTCCTCACTACTGGACACACCATACAGTACTCCCACACTACTGGACACACCATACAGTACTCCCACACTACAGGACACACCATACAGTACTCCCTCACACACCACACACAACATACAGTACTCCCACACTACAGGACACACCATACAGTACTCCCTCACACACCACACACACCATACAGTACTTCCTCACTACTGGACACACCATACAGTACTCCCTCACTACTGGACACACCATACAGTACTCCCTCACTACTGGACACACCATACAGTACTCCCTCACTACTGGACACACCATACAGTACTCCCTCACTACAGGACACACCATACAGTACTCCCACACTACTGGACACACCATACAGTACTCCCACACTACAGGACACACCATACAGTACTCCCTCACTACAGGACACACCATACAGTACTCCCTCACTCACCACACACACCATACAGTACTTCCTCACTACTGGACACACCATACAGTACTCCCTCACTACTGGACACACCATACAGTACTCCCACACTACAGGACACACCATACAGTACTCCCACACTACAGGACACACCATACAGTACTCCCACACTACAGGACACACCATACAGTACTCCCTCACACACCACACACACCATACAGTACTTCCTCACTACTGGACACACCATACAGTACTCCCACACTACTGGACACACCATACAGTACTCCCTCACACACCACATACACCATACAGTACTCCCACACTACAGGACACACCATACAGTACTCCCACACTACAGGACACACCATACAGTACTCCCACACTACAGGACACACCATACAGTACTCCCTCACTACAGGACACACCATACAGTACTCCCACACTACTGGACACACCATACAGTACTCCCTCACATACCACACACACCATACAGTACTCCCACACTACAGGACACACCATACAGTACTCCCTCACACACCACACACACCATACAGTACTTCCTCACTACTGGACACACCATACAGTACTCCCTCACTACTGGACACACCATACAGTACTCCCTCACACACCACACACACCATACAGTACTTCCTCACTACTGGACACACCATACAGTACTCCCACACTACAGGACACACCATACAGTACTCCCACACTACAGGACACACCATACAGTACTCCCTCACTACAGGACACACCATACAGTACTCCCACACTACTGGACACACCATACAGTACTCCCACACTACTGGACACACCATACAGTACTCCCTCACTACAGGACACACCATACAATACTCCCTCACTACAGGACACACCATACAGTACTCCCACACTACTGGACACACCATACAGTACTCCCACACTACAGGACACACCATACAGTACTCCCACACTACTGGACACACCATACAGTACTCCCACACTACAGGACACACCATACAGTACTCCCACACTACAGGACACACCATACAGTACTCCCACACTACAGGACACACCATACAGTACTCCCTCACACACCACACACACCATACAGTACTTCCTCACTACTGGACACACCATACAGTACTCCCACTCTACTGGACACACCATACAGTACTCCCTCACTACAGGACACACCATACAGTACTCCCTCACTACAGGACACACCATACAGTACTCCCTCACTACAGGACACACCATACAGTACTCCCTCACTACAGGACACACCATACAGTACTCCCACACTACTGGACACACCATACAGTACTCCCACACTACTGGACACACCATACAGTACTCCCTCACACACCACACACACCATACAGTACTCCCACACTACAGGACACACCATACAGTACTCCCTCACACACCACACACACCATACAGTACTCCCACACTACTGGACACACCATACAGTACTCCCACACTACTGGACACACCATACAGTACTCCCTCACACACCACACACACCATACAGTACTCCCTCACTACAGGACACACCATACAGTACTCCCTCACTACAGGACACACCATACAGTACTCCCATACTACAGGACACACCATACAGTACTCCCACACTACAGGACACACCATACAGTACTCCCTCACTACAGGACACACCATACAGTACTCCCTCACTACAGGACACACCATACAGTACTCCCTCACTACAGGACACACCATACAGTACTCCCACACTACAGGACACACCATACAGTACTCCCACACTACTGGACACACCATACAGTACTCCCACACTACAGGACACACCATACAGTACTCCCTCACACACTACACACACCATACAGTACTCCCACACTACAGGACACACCATACAGTACTCCCTCACACACCACACACACCATACAGTACTCCCACACTACTGGACACACCATACAGTACTCCCACACTACTGGACACACCATACAGTACTCCCTCACACACCACACACACCATACAGTACTCCCACACTACAGGACACACCATACAGTACTCCCACACTACTGGACACACCATACAGTACTCCCTCACACACCACACACACCATACAGTACTCCCACACTACAGGACACACCATACAGTACTCCCTCACTACAGGACACACCATACAGTACTCCCACACTACAGGACACACCATACAGTACACCCTCACTACAGGACACACCATACAGTACTCCCTCACTACAGGACACACCATACAGTACTCCCTCACTACAGGACACACCATACAGTACTCCCACACTACAGGACACACCATACAGTACTCCCTCACTACAGGACACACCATACAGTACTCCCTCACACACTACACACACCATACAGTACTCCCACACTACTGGACACACCATACAGTACTCCCACACTACTGGACACACCATACAGTACTCCCACACTACAGGACACACCTTACAGTACTCCCACACTACAGGACACACCATACAGTACTTCCTCACTACTGGACACAACATACAGTACTCCCTCACTACTGGACACACCATACAGTACTTCCTCACTACAGGACACACCATACAGTACTCCCACACTACTGGACACACCATACAGTACTTCCTCACTACTGGACACACCATACAGTACTCCCTCACACACCACACACACCATACAGTACTCCCACACTACAGGACACACCATACAGTACTCCCACACTACAGGACACACCATACAGTACTCCCACACTACAGGACACACCATACAGTACTCCCTCACTACAGGACACACCATACAGTACTCTCACACACACCACACACACCATACAGTACTCCCACACTACTGGACACACCATACAGTACTCCCACACTACTGGACACACCATACAGTACTCCCACACTACTGGACACACCATACAGTACTCCCACACTACAGGACACACCATACAGTACTCCCACACTACTGGACACACCATACAGTACTCCCACACTACAGGACACACCATACAGTACTCCCACACTACAGGACACACCATACAGTACTCCCACACTACTGGACACACCATACAGTACTTCCTCACTACTGGACACACCATACAGTACTTCCTCACTATCACACAACAATAATAAGCACGAATGCAGTGCAATATAACACGACAATATGTTACAACCACATTATAAGTAAATATTGTATTATAAAATAATAAAACCCATTGCACAGTACTGCGAAGGGTTTTACAGTACTGTGCAAGAGAGAGAGGGAGAGAGAGAGAGAGAGAGAGACAGAGAACAAGTAGAAGAGTACAGAAGAAAGAGCTGATAGTGATCTTGACGACACAATAACCGAAGCAACTCCAGGACCTTGCGAGAGTTTACGGACGCCGAGGTCGCGGGTGGAACCGCACGAACAAAAAGAACATGTACAGGGAGAGAGAGAACGAGAGGAACAGCCTGGTGGAACCAGGAGGTGGAAGAGCCGTTTATTATGACCACAAGGTGTGGCTATAACAGCTACGAAGCGAAAGATTGAAAACTGAACAAGAAAGCGTGTTTGGAGAGGCAAAAACAGTTGTAATGTTTACGAAGTGACAAACGTGGAAGAGAGTCAAAATTCAGCGGCGGATGGGGAGTGGGGAGCACTCACCCTGATCTTGTAGGCGCCCTTGCCCAGGGCGGTGAGGTCCTCGGGGGTGAGGGTGGCGCCGTCCAGCGTCAGGTACTCGTCTGGGGGCTGGTACCGTCCTGGACTGTGTATGGTGTCTGGTTAAGGTACCTGAGGTCACGTGTGGGGGGGTCTCTGTTTACCTTGGTGATGGTGATAGCTTAATGATGGAGAAAGGTTGGTGATGGAGACAGTCTATTGGATGATGATAGGATAAATGATTTCATCGTGTGTATACAATGTTTACAATCATGTTTTGGTGTGAGTGTATTGGCCAATCTGCTGCCTGGATCGCCAGCTCTCAACACAACACGTGACCTAAAATAATATCTATAGCAGTTGCCTTTGTGAATTGATCAAAAGAAAGCATAAAAAACGAGGTGAGGCTTTGGCTAATCACATAACTTTATGTCGGTAGAGAACATGAGGCATGAGGCAGGAGAACATGAGGCAGGAGAGAATGAGGGGGAGGAGAATATGAGGTGCTGATGATGAAGGGCAGATCAGTAATAAAGGATACACTTGTTCAGTGATGTATTTCATCTCAGCCTGTTCGGTTACTGGGTTCGGCCGGTCGCTGTCCAGAACTGTGGGAGGAACGGTACATACATACGTATATATATATAAGTATTTATATAAATACATTTCTTCAGTTTTATCTGTAGTTACATATACACCACACCCACCAACCACCACACCCACCAACCACAACACCCACCAACCACCACACCCACCAACTCACCCACAGACACAAAGTCATTATCATCGAGGACGTCGCTGATCAGGTCAGAAGGGTCCAGTATGGCGCCACCTAGAGTCTTCCTCACCCTGGCCACAGTCTCCACCTTGTTGGGGACGTGAGTGGCCGGCTTGAGGTTCATGAAGCGCTTCAACGACTCCTCGCCCAGCCACGACACGCTCTCCTGACCTGAAACACACATCCACCTGTTAATTCCTCGGGTAAATGATTAGTTATGGCCAAGAGTAAGGTCCACTACCACTCACAGGATGGGTATGGGGGCCACTACCACTCACAGGATGGATATGGGGGCCACTATCACTCATAGGATGGGTATGGGGTCCACTACCACTCACAGGATGGGTATGGGGGCCACTACCACTCACAGGATGGATATGGGGGCCACTACCACTCATAGGATGGGTATGGGGGCCACTACCACTCACAGGATGGGTATGGGGTCCACTACCACTCACAGGATGGGTATGGGGGCCACTACCACTCACAGGATGGATATGGGGGCCACTATCACTCATAGGATGGGTATGGGGGCCACTACCACTCACAGGATGGGTATGGGGGCCACTATCACTCATAGGATGGGTATGGGGGCCACTACCACTCACAGGATGGGTATGGGGGCCACTACCACTCACAGGATGGGTATGGGGGCCACTACCACTCACAGGATGGGTATGGGGGCCACTACCACTCTCAGGATGGGTATGGGGGCCACTACCACTCATAGGATGGGTATGGGGTCCGTTACCCCTCACACGATGAGTTTCGGGTCCACTACCGTTCACAAGATGGGCATGACGTGCATAATATATTACCTGAACAAAACTAACCGAGGAGACAACAGGTTGGGTTGTATTACAGTTTTATTAAAATAATAAAACAAAACTCAAAATATTTAAATAAGTTGTAAAGTAACTAAGGATATTGACAAATTTTGTATAAAATCTCTATTGTTTAATAAAACTAAAAAAAAAATTCTTAATATTTAAAACTGATACGTAGCAAATCGGGAGGGAGAGTTATTGTATTAAAAAAATATAATTTAGAATTTATCACATATATGCTTATTAATTAATAAGCCAAATATTGACAGTAAGCAATGTCATATATGTACTGTCTTGTGCGACAGCGGGTTTCAGCCAACCACACTGCATCTCACATAATATTCAATAGTCTATATATATTCCTGATGCCAGTATGAGACCAACAAGACGCTGACAATTCCCACAAGATGTTTTATCAAAGGCCAGTAAATGACTCACAGAAACTTTGGTAAATAAAGGACCTGTAGTAATGTTTAATATGGCCCATCAATTTTGTCAACTTTTAATAAAGCGTGTACAAAATTATCTTTTAGATGTTTAATTCAAATTATTTGGCTGAGAGACTGCGCAGTAAACAGGTATATTCTATATCGATGAGAGCATGTGTGTGTTTATCTGTCTGTCTCTCCAAGGTTGAAGGCCGGACGCTCGGGGCTAGTGTCCCAACTTTGCAGTATGAATGGTCTGGGGTACGCGACGGACATCGACTGGTCGGTATTAGTCCTAGAAAGTGACCTCCGTATTATTATATTCAGTGAAAAGTGGCTGGCCGGGTCCCTAGATTTCTTCACTCGGAAACAGACAACTCCCAACGACCTGAAAGCCCTAGCATAAATAGCTATGATTTGTTCAGATCTGAAACCTATATCTATGGACAGCACAAAACGTCCACCAAACTGTGCGACACAGTGGTTGCCAGGATCTCGTAACAGGTGACGGATCTCCCAATCATGAGCCGCCTGGTAAAATGGTCCATTATAGGGCAGAGTAACCCAAACTCCCCAGAAAATTTCTTTAGAAATTTGATCGCTGTATGATATATTTATACAAATGTTGCGTTCTTATTGTTCAGCAAATATATTTTCTAAACCCCTACACAGTCAGTAGCCTGATATCTGAGACCCCCTACACAGTCTGTAGCCTGATATCTGAGACCCCCTACACAGTCTGTAGCCTGATATCTGAGACCCCCTACACAGTCTGTAGCCTGATATCTGAGACCCCCTACACAGTCTGTAGCCTGATATCTGAGACCCCCTACACAGTCAGTAGCCTGATATCTGAGACCCCCTACACAGTCAGTAGCCTGATATCTGAGACCCCCTACACAGTCTGTAGCCTGGTCTCTGAAAACTTGTACAATCAAAAATTATATCCTAGTATGTTACTCTCACCGAGCGCTCCTATCATCCAACACTATTATATTGTATCAAAAAGTTACACGAGAATAATATCACCATTGCCCCCCCCATGTGTATATTGCTTTTGATTGGTAAAGCCTAACACGGGCTAAAGTCTTCCTTTGATCATCATTGCAATATATATATATCAACAACTTCTAGCTAAAGCTCTAATGATATAATTTTTTTTAACTTTTTTAATAAACAGCAAATGCGTATTCATTTGCGGCTTTTACACACCCTCCAAAAATATAGATTTTTTTATTATTAACAAACTGTACAAAAAATCGGTATTAATAATTGGTATGTGTTTTTTCTTGACTTAGCAATAAGCTACGTTGCAACCCGTCCATCTCCCTCTTACGCTGTGGTAACCAACGTACCTAATGCAACCTGCTATGGAAAGTAGCATCTCACAGAAGTCCATGATTTGTATGCGTCAATTGATTACGGTTGGGTGTGTGCGTTGCTAGTTAGGACGTTAGAGAAGCTGAGTTAGAGAGAGAAGGCTAGTTAGAGAACGGGCTGAGGAATAGATATTTTGCAACTTTAATTTAGTATAGTGGATAATTATCTTATTCTCAAAGATTTTGTTGTTCAGTTTTGATGTAATATGGATGTTAATTGTCTGAGTTAGTTCTGATGATGACTACTATAGGCTACTCAGGATCAGAACAGTCTTAGGTTACTCGATATCAGAGTAGTCTAGACTACTCAACATGATTAGGTTAAACTACGCAGCATCTGGGTAGTTAATCCTTCTCAACACCAGAGTAGTCTATAAGGGAACGTGGCAGGGTTCAGGCAGGCCCCTATACAGTACTTTGTATATACACTACGCTACGTAAAATCTCACCACACGTGGATTGCAATATACATATATACATATAAGCAGCATCTATACACCAGACACCATCGTCAAGGTGCAACAGAGAGTATCAACACGACAATCTGCAACAGTTGGTAGGGGCGTGTTCTTGTGTCTCACTAGGCTTGTCCTGCAACGTGTGTTTGTGTGGAATTGGATCGAGGTTTCTAGGTACAAACATCAACCTGAGTACAAACAAGCCTCTCACCAGCCCTGGCGGCATACTTGTTTGCCTCGCCCACGCTGGTAGAGGAACAACCTGGCATGGAGACAAGCTGATCAAACTAGTTTGGTGGCATGAGAATCTATATTTGAAGCCCAAGCCTGGGGTAGGATGAGGCTATCGGCGTGGTGGGGGGTTAGAAGGGAGAGAAAATCAGGGGGTATGGAGGGGGTGAGAAGGGGGGAGGGAGGGGAACACGTAGTAGGGTTGGTGACCCAAGGAAGTTCTTCACGATGGTATAGGAATTTAACAAATGCTAAATTTGTTATTTAATAAATTACAAAAGTTATAAGATTTTATCAGTAAAACGTATTTTTATTTTGGCAAGTTTGGTAAAATGTTAGTTTTGGTTATTTTTGTTTTTTTGTCCCTGTGTGCATGAAAGTCATGTTTGGTCAGCTTGTTATAAGGGCAGAAGCATCAGGGAAACTGTAAAAGGTCTATTGGTTGATGAGAGGCAGATTCTGTTCAAGGGATATGTATACAGAGAGACGTACCCTGTTTTTCGGTATATATATATATATATATATATATATATATATATATATATATATATATATATATATATATATATATATATATATATATATATATTTAAAAAACTCATTTAAAAGCGACATGTACCAGGTCAACACTGCACCAGAGATGCCACTTTGAGTGTAACATTGTCTTCCTGTGTTCCAAATTGGAATCTACTTACAAACAAACAAGTAGTTTGTTTGTAAGTAGATTCCAAACAAGTAGATTCTTCTCGTTCAATGAAAACTTCTTTACAAACATATTGTTTGCTGTCATTTTTGCTAGAAATGTCTCCTTTTATTTTCCTATTTTTTTCCCCCAAAAATATAAATATGTAATTCAATTGAACAGGTCCCATTATAAATATGGATTCATCATGTGTCAATAGTAAATAGAGGAACATAGTTCACATAGTTTGTATGTGATGTACTACATACAGACATTCTGCGTCGCGACAGAACACGCAGGTGTTGCTGTGGGTCGCAGTCAAAACAAAAAATGTTAGCAAAATGCTGCTCAGGTGGGTCATTAAGACCAACAAAATACCTTTCTGACCATGTATACTTTAGCCCAGAACGAAAGTAGACCCTCAGTGTATATATTCACAGAGAAGCTGGGTACACAGCTTCATTTGAACCAAATTATAACCAAATCTTCCACGGTGGTATAGCCGAAGACTTGGTTATACTTTGGATAGCTTAGTCTCTCCTGTTGGAAGGTTTGAAGTAATTTAGTAGTCACGTTTGTATTCATTCTTGCTCGTGAAAGATAACTGATAAATTTAGGCTTCGGATTAAGTTATACTTTGTTAGAACTAACATACTTCGCGGATAATTAGGAACACAGGTGTATTTTTGTATAATGTATGATTTCGTAAGTGCGCAAATGCTTGGCGAATCTTGGCGCCCCAGTAGTGCGCACATTATTACAGAAAATGGGATGTGACCCCATAGGTGGATTACTTGAGTGAGTGATTAACGCAGTGATTGGTTACCAGTGGTCAGGGAGTGAGCCTTAGAAACACATAGCTGGGTCTCCATGTTGTGGGATTGCTCACCCAGCGTTGTTTACTTGGCACCACTGCTTCACCCACCTGTCATACCCTTCACCCACCTGTCATACCCTTCACCCACCTGTCATACCCTTCACCCACCTGTCATACCCTTCACCTACCTGTCTTGCATGGAACCTGAAGCCACTCCCCACGTACACGGACGGAGACCTTCATCTTGGAGGAGCTTGGGAGCGCCCACAGCACCAGCTGGAGTGATTACAAGCCAGGTGTGCGGACCTGAGGCCAGCCGCACCTGGGGTGCCGCTGCAGCAGGCTCTGAGGTGCCGCTGGTGGCCCTTGTTCCAAAGGGTTCGAGTGATCACAGCGGCCAGGGCGGCTGGTGGCACACGCTCTGCACTTTGTAGCTGTTGGTGGAGAGCAAAGTACACTGGAATGCGGTGAGGACACTGGAGCGAGACACGGGTAATCAACACTGGCTGGAAGTCACCTGATTAGTGAGGAGAGAGGCGGCGACGACCTGGACGTGAGCTCTGATGTACTCGGGTGATACCATCACTTCCCCCACCCCATGTCCCCACATCTCCCCCCCCCTCTCTCTCTCTCACACACAACACTGTAACCACCCCACCACACACCCACCCCACTACCACAACTATCTACGTCTACCACACCACGACACCCACACCATCACCTCCACCACCACCAACCTCACAACACCTCCATCACCACCAGTAACAGCATCATCATCCGTCATCTTGGCAGCAAGGCAAACTACCGCCCTCTTGGAAGAAAGCAGACATCATACCGATTCCTAAGCCCAAAGAACCTGGCAATTACAGACCCATTTCATTAACAACATGCATTAGTAAAACTGCAGAATGGATGGTCTTAAATAGGCTACTGTGGAAGACTGGAGACCTGCATAAACACATATTTGGCTTCACTAGAGGAGTAGGTACTGCCAACTGCATAGCAACATTACTAGGAACAGTTACCTCAGGTCCAGCTATAGTGATCTTCCTTGATCTAGAAAAAGCATTCGAACTTGCAAGCCCGCGAGCAATTTTACACACCTTAGTTAAATAAGGTATAAACGGAAATATACTAGCATGGATTAAAGATTACTTAGGTCACAGGTATGCCAGAGTAAAGTTGCAAGGACATGTGTCGGACTACCACTTGCATGAGAATGGGACTCCACAAGGAGGAGTCCTCAGTCCTAGTCTCTTTAACATCCTTATGGTAAACCTTGTTACCATGACATTTACAGAAGGGGTTAAATTGCTAAGTTAAGCTGATGATATAGCATTAGTCATTACAGGTCCTTCACTTCTAAATAAACCACAAGATGCATTAGATAAAGTAACATCTGAATGCAGCGTTTTAGGGCTAAAAATATCTGCACAGAAGTGTAAGGCAATGAGACTAGGCGGCAACACTCCAGACAGGCACCTACGCATTCAAGACATTAACCTTCAGTGGGTTACACAATGTCAATATCTCGGAGTGTGGATACATTCTAAAATGACATTCAACAAGCAAATTCAATATCTGAAGGAGGAAGCAAAATCACGACTAAATATAATGAGAGCAATCACAGGGCCCCGTCTAGGAGCGGGACACAAAGTGTTAAGAATGTTTGACATACACGCCGTTCGTTCCCTAGTTGATTATGCAGCGCCTGCCTTACTCACTCTTTCTCCTGGTCAGTGGGCAAAGGTTGAGGTTATTCAAAATGAAGCAATGCGAGTCATAACAGGAGCTCCCAGATGGACTAAAATACTGAACCTATGACTAGAAACCAAGCTAACGTCGATTGAAATAAGGGTAAAAGGGATTTTTGTGTGCATGCTGACCAAGATATTGACTAGATCTAGAATCAGTTCACTTAAAGATATAATCACTGGAGCACTAACTCTGGACAGAAGAGCCTCCAATAGCAACAGGTGGACCCATTGTGCGATAAACACCATCAATACATTTGATATAACAAACACAGTCACTGAGAAGGGTGTCGACGAAATACATGCAGACTTTGTTATGCAAGCCCCTTGGGAATCTCTGCCAGCAGACTTTAAGATTATGGCTATTAAAGGAAAACAGAACCAGACAAATCCTCATCTGCTACATAACATTGCACAGATGCATAAAGAAGCAAACTTGACACCCGACTGTTTCACATACTTCACAGATGGATCAGTAGATCAGCAGGGACAAGAAACCGGAGCTGCAGTTAAAACAGGGAACTCTGTAAATAGTTGGAGGCTCTCAAATAGGTGTTCGACTTTACAAACAGAGATGCTAGCCATTCAAAAGGCTTTGGAACATGCTCTTGCTGAACACCGACAACATTTTATCATACATACAGATTCGAGAACCGCCATTGAAATCTTGCAACAAGAACGCACATGTGATAACATCCATCTGATCACAAATGTCATATCATTAATGAAAACACTCAAACGACAAGGCCGACGGGTACTTATCAACTGGGTGCCAAGTCGTGAGGGAATAATAGGAAATGACATTGCAGACGAAGCTGCAAAACTTGCAACTAAGAGAAGAAATGTAGACATTTACAAACCACAGAGTCTATCACAGATTAAGAAAGTAATTAGAAACAGAGCAATACAAAAGATGTACAGTGACCACAACACAGCAGTTGCAACATCAGGATCTGCGGGTTGGTACAAGAATTCAACCAACTACGAACCACTTAGTTTGATGAAAGGGAGCAGTAGAACAACAGAAGTACACTTACATCGCATCAGGCTTGAATACCCATGTGCATGGGAAATAGGCTTACAGGTTCCGGAAGATGAGAGGAAATGTCAGCACTGTGGAGGAATGCCCGACAGACCACTGGAACATTATTTAACACTGTGGACAGTTACAAACCCATTAAGATTTCAACTAAGATTCAACAGAGCAGAAGAAGTTGTTAAACACATATGGCAAAATCTTACTGACGCGACCATACGAGTCATAAAAACTCATACTCCGCCCAAGTAAAACAGAAACAAGCAACACTTAGTGGTCCAGCCAGAGGCATATAGTCATTAACAATAGAACTTTGTGTTAAATATTAAATAGAGAATAAACGGGAGACCGCGTGTGAGCCAGTGAACGAGGCTTTGTGTACATGCGTGTATTAGGAAAAAAAAATAGTGAACGGTCATTCGTGGAACAGTGATGTGGAACGGGTATCACAACAACATATAAGTTGGAAGTGAATATTATAAATATAGAATACTAGAAATATAGAATAGTGGCAAGAGGCGGCATCAGTGGTTATAAATCGGGTAACTGGAAACTGGTGACATCAACCTGGGCCACAAGAGGTCACCTGTACTGACCGGGGGACCAGCCTCGCTACCCTACACTAAGTACCTGCCATAAAGTTTGAACAAAATAACATACATAATATTACAAATATACGGTATACATATAATATTATAAATATTTAACATATAAATATATATACATATATATTGTTACAAATATACAATATACATATAATATTATAAATATATAGATATATACAACAAAACAAGGCAATATGGGAGTAAATAAACAAATTTGTGGCCACTGTAACAACTCCTTAAAGACGAAGGTAACGGGAATTGAATGTTATATCTGTAAGACTAGATTCCATTCGGCTTGTACAGGAGTGAGTAACACTACGGCACTGAGAGCTGGTCACTTGCTCTGGGTGTGTAAAAATGACCTGCCAGCTTGGAATATCCTAAAAAACCTTCTAGATAACATGACGCATGATCGGAAAACATCATTCATTGGAAGCCTACCAGCCATCCAGAAGGAGTGGGAAAGGAACAACAATTCTAATATACAAGGGGCGGAGGCTATAGTCAGGGATGAAACTGAGGCTGAAACTCGGGAAATTGTAAACTCTGACTCAGTAGGCCAGGATGTAGATGACAGTAAACTAGAAAGTGTACCAGACAGCACTGACAGCTCGATAGGTACAGACACTACGACGGTTCCCGATAGAGCAATTCAGAACAGAAGGACAGACTTATGCAAATTTTATGCAAAGGGCATATGCAGACATAGATATGCTGGTAATAAGAAAGGATTAGAATGCAGTTACCAACATCCCAAAAAATGTTTAAATATGCTTAGGAAAGGTGAGTGTCGATTTGGATCAATATGTAGGTTTTTCCATCCTGACATGTGCCAAACCTCACTGGAGGACAGAAAATGCTATGACCTCAGCTGCCCACACTTTCACGTGAAAGGCACGGAACGCTACATAAAGAGTGGCAAGCAGGATAATGAATTTGGAGGAAACTCTATAAATTTTTTATACCAGACCGGCAGAGAATTCAAAAGGAGTAGCATGGAGAGTGTATGGAACTGGATGCCAGATCCACTTGCATTCCAGAATTACAGATACAATTACCCACCGAAAGGGAACTACAACTACGACAGACAACTGCCCTACAACAATCAGTACTGGTCAAAACAAACTCATTATGTCCACGAATAATGGGCTTGCCGAAAAAGTCTCCCATTCAAACTATCACTAATAGAGTAACCTCATTCATCTTTGCCAACATACAAGGACTGAAAACAAGAACAAACAACAAAGTACAGTTCATAAATGGCCTCCTCACGGAGTCAAATGCAGTATTTGGAGCTTTCACAGAAACCCATGCAGGGGAATTGTTGGACAGTGAGATCTGGATTCCAGGATATAACCTATACAGGTGTGATAGGAAAATTAGGTCACATGGAGGAGTGGGTCTGTATATTAGGGAAGACCTTGTATGCTCGGAGCTCCTAAACGTTACAAATGAGGTGGTCGAGGTACTGGGATTAAAAATAGAGAAAATAAATTTAGTGATTATTCTAATATACAAACCGCCAGATGCAACGGGTGAGGAATTCACAGAACAGATAAGCAAAATAAAGAATAGCCTTGATAATTTGGAGAACCCGATACCTGATATTATCTTCCTAGGTGACTTCAACTTGCCTAGTCTCAGGTGGAAAATAGCAAACAATAATATTATACCAGGAAATCTATCAGGACCTAACCAACCACAGATTAGAGAACTACTTAGATTCTGTGACAAATTTTCACTCAATCAGCAGATATCGGAGCCAACGAGAAATGAAAATATTCTAGATCTGGTCTTTACGAACAATGAAGACATTATCAGACACATTACGATATCAGATACCACATACTCAGATCACAAACTCATTGAAGTGCAAACGACCATCAATACTCAGAATTGACCTAAAACGTTGATAAAGCGAGAGGGGCTATTCAGTAAATTCAATTTTAATAATAAAAGGATAGACTGGGAGATAATAAACAGGGAACTTACAAACATTCCATGGGGAACTGTTCTGAGTAATACAAGTCCTACAGAAGGAATAGAAAAATTGACTACAGAAGCGTATCAAGTCTGTCTGAAACATGTTCCTTTGAGGAAAGCCAGAAAGAGATCTAACGTAGAAAGAGAACGCAGACGACACTAT